TCTTACCTATAAGCCTCAGAGGAAGTATAAGGGTGGTCACAATTACTTCCTGGTTGGTCCTTACATTCATATTCATGGGCACATTAAATACACACAAAAATGTAGAGCACAATCCTGTACACTTTATGTAAATAAATCTCTGGTTATATCAATGGGAGATTTGTCTGAATAAAGCCATTAAAAAGCAACCACCCTGTGTGTTGCAGAATGTTATCAGGTGCAGCCTCCAGATTTTATAATATTTTACATATAACTGATTTTTTTAAAACATTTAGCATTTCAGATTATGTAACTGGGATTTCTTAGCATGCCAACACAGAAACATTATGAATGTTTAGATGTTATTTATTGCAGTCTCTTTATAGGGAGTGCAGATGCCATAAAGCTTGCTAGCAGTGAGAAAACAGATAAGTAGGAGCTTTAGAACATAACGTTATCAAGTAAACAGTTAATGAATTTATCACCAGAGATGAGAGTCCAGGAGCTGACCTAACAAAGTGGAATAAAAAGGTGTTTCAATGGCTCTTACGTTGCAAGCGAATGTAATTCCAAGCATAATGGGTTGCTCTGCCAATTTATTCCTGTAGAATGGTACCTATAGGCCTGCCTGCAAATTTTTACTAGCCAGTTCAGTATTTGCCACAATGAGCAGTCCCTAAAGGAATGAACCACAAAGACAAGTGTTGGCAAAACTAAGGCCCAAATCTCCAAAAGTTATTTAGGCACTTAACTCCCATGGGAATTCCTTTTGTATTTAGAAAAAAAGTGTTTCAGCAAATAGGTGAAAGGCTGCATGCTGGAGGGAAAATTGAAAGTGGTGCTTTGTTGAACAGAATGGTTTACATCACCATTTTGTTGTCATTCAATGCGTTATGGAACATTAATTCAGGTCATGGGTTCAGTCTATATGGGCACAATGGCTTTTTCCCCGCTCTCCTACGTGCATGCTACATTTCCCAGACCTGAAGAAGAGCTCTGTGTAAGCTCAAAAGCTGGTCTCAGCAAAAGAAGTTGGTTGTCCAATGAAAGATATTACCTCACCTACCTTGTCCCTCTACTATCCTGGGACCAACACAGCTATGACAACAGTGCATAAGACATCTCCATGCACACTTGAGATGTGCCTTCTGTGCATGACTGATATTGGATATATGAACCCTGCAGAAAAATGAGCACCTCCCTCACCCACAAAATTATCAGGCCCTTCCCCAAAACTGTTTTTTCTCTAATTATCCTGTATTGCTAAGGACATCAAAATGTACCCTAGTGACAGTCATACTGACTTCAGCTTCTATTGGTTTGACTTTTGACATTAGTGTTGAGTTGAATATGCACAGCCTTAAATGTGCAAAGCTTGCAAGTGGCTAATTCAGCAGGGCTGGGATAAAGAAGAAAACCCCTCCAGATGGAAGAATTTCAGGGAAATGCAGGTGTTTCTGCTCTCCTAAGTGGAAACAACTCACTGAGGAGCATGGAACCTTTAGCTCTTTAAACATGTAGCATTTCTCCTTACTGAAAAATAGAAGTGCTGTTACTTCAGTATGGCCAGCTGGACCGAAGGCAGCAGCATTAGCTAAAGAAAGATTTTTATAAACCCAGTATTGTAAAAGAATTGAGTCACCCTGATTTCTAAACAGGGTTTCCATGCAGCTGTGCACCATTAGGAAGGGCAGAATGTGGTGCTCAGATTTCACTCATCCATACAGTCTCCAGTTAGTGACATTTAGAAAGGACAAATCAATACTAAGAAGATACTGTGTCTGTTTCTTACTGCGTATGAAAGGTCAAGCAATTTCCATGTATGTAACCATTCCAACATTGCTGTTTTCTGACACAGAAATTGCTTAGCCCTGGAGAACTATGGTAGAGAAAGATTTCTGATCTTGTGCATCATATTCCAGAAACCACAATAACTATTTTTAAAAATAAGTCTGGCACTGAAACTCACCACCTTTTATTTGATTAAATAATGTATGCTATCCATACAGGGTAGCAAACTAAAGCTCTGCATGTTACTAAGTGGTTTATTGAAATACACGAGAAGAAATTATCCAAAAAATGTAAGACTATTTTCTGGGCAAAACCCAATAATACTTAACTGTATATATTGTTACAGAGGCACAACCATTTTCATAATAATGAATTTTACTCCTGTTTCACATTTTCAATTAATATTCCCAGGCAAGAGAAATTATTCTTCTCCTGTAGTTTCTTTAGACCTATAAAAAGGTTACTGAGTTCTTTTCAGCATATCTGGAGAGAAAGCGGTCATGAAAAGTATATTGGTCTAGTTCTGGACCCAAAACTTGTTCCCCTTTATCTCAATTGCAAAAACCCCATTGACTTCAATCAGAGCAGGATCAGGACCATTCTCTGGATCACACCCCATTCTGTACTATTTATTGTCTTGGAGATAAATAGGAGATCCAAGTTTGGTGTTGAAACCTTTGCTGGGGAAATTTCTTGATTTCCCCCCCACCATATTTAAATTCCTGACCTCTACTTGTGTTTTTTTAATCTTACAGTCAGGCCTTTGATTGCATAAACTGTCATAGTCCCATTGAATTCAATGATATGTCAACTTACATCAGCTGATGATTTGACCCTATATTTTAATACATTATATAGATATAGAAAAATTAACATCCTCTCATGCAGTTGTCTGATTTAATGACTAGAGAACAGTGATGCAATGTCTGAGATCGCAAGTTCAAGATTTGAAAGAGCAACTGTTTTAAAATATTCAGAAAGCAAACATTTTCTTATGCCTGCATGAGAAACAAATACTCTAACAACTAACTAAAAACAATGCAACAACTGTTAAACTTGTAAACTCAGGTATTTATACAGCACCAGAGGTGTGAATTACAGTCACACTCTTTAGCCTTCACGAAAGAAACTGGAGCGATGGTATTTCCATATCATGGATGGACAGAAAGGCACATGCTTCCAATGCACAAGACATCAGCTAAGTACAGTAAGGAACTTTTAGCATTTATTTAAGGCTGTTGTGAGATAAATATTGTAGCATCATTAGCTAGGTGTCTGTTTGCAATATTGTCACTTAGTATATCGAGCAATGTTTCCCAAACTTGGGGCACTGCTTGTCCAGGGAAAGCCCCTGGCAGGCCGGGCCAGTTTGTTTACCTGCCGCGTCCACAGGTTTGGCTGATCACAGCTCCCACTGGCTGCGGTTTACTGCTGCAGGCCAATGGGGCTGCGGAAAGCAGTACAGGGGTGTGTGTCCTGTTAATGTAAAACATAAAAGCTTAATTTCTGTTTTAATATAGTTGCTTGGATCCTCTGTCAGAGAGAAAAAACCCATCTAAAATGGCTGCCCCATTGTGGTTATGTCAGAATATTGTGACCTTTTCTAAAAGCCATTTTCTAAGTAGAGTTTCTGCTCAAATAGATTTAAAAGCAAACAGAAAAGGAGTACTTGTGGCACCTTAGAGACTAACCAATTTATTTGAGCATGAGCTTTCGTGAGTTACAGCTCACTTCATCGGATGCAAACCGTGGAAACTGCAGAAGACATTATATACACACACTGAGACCATGAAACAAGCAAACAAGCATTTTAAAAAAAAAATCTAAATCTGCCAGCTGGACCTTTTCCTCTATTGAGGAAATAGAAGATGGTGGTGGTGATGCAGAATACAGATGCCTGCCTCATCATCTTGTCACATTGCAACAAATCAAAATCAAGCAATGTCATGAAAGTATAGATTTTTTTTAAAAAATATATTTTATTGCTTTTTTGACAGCTGATTTACAGAGGGTTTTTTTGGACTCTTTTCCTGAACCTTTATGAATAAGCTGTTTTGATGATTGTGCTCTTCAAACTTTTATTGGAAAATAGACTGTTAGAAAGTTGACCATTAACTGGCTGACAAAGCCTATTAGGTATAGTCTAGTACATGTCTGCATGGGGGCAAAAGAGCACAGGCTGTTTTTACTCAGATGCTTCCATGACCCAAATCCTGCTTTCCTTAATTTCTGAAAATTTAGCTTTTGCTTATACCTGCAACAGCCTCTGTCCAATGGGGTTCAGGATTACAATCTCTTCAGGACAGATTGTATCATTTTATACTTTTGTAAATCTCCATTATGATATCAAAGAGCAAAAGGATAATTTACAGATTTTGTTGATTCAGAATTAGAACACTTTCAAAAGTCACAATGGTATGGCTTTATGGATTTGAATTCTGTAAAGTGCTTTGGGATATACTGTGGTTTATAAGATGTTATACAAAATAAGGGCCAAGACCACTGTGCTTTGGGCAAACAGTGCATTAAAGACAAAGGCCCAGAGCATACTGTTATACTATGAAAGTGTTTTTATACTTAGCTACATACATAAATTTAATTTTATAGTTGCCAGTGCCACCAATTAAAACCAATGGCTGACTAAACTAATCCCAGCTTCCCTCTATTTTGGTAAATTAATGGCTAAGAGAAAATTCTTAGCCTATTTCAGAATTATTTGGAGATGGGGATGGTCTTATATTTGAGTTCCTGCTCTAAACCAGAACAAAAAGCACTTAGTATCTCAGTCTCCATTTAATATTCTTTGTTCTCCCTAAAACTAAGGCTATTTTAAGTAATTTAGTAATTTCTGTAAAGTAATGTACAAATTCCTGTAGTCCATTAGGTCATTTTTAGAATGCCTCCGGCATTTGAACCCTCACACCATCTTGTTAATCACTACCTCCAGAACAGGGTTAATGTTTCATCCCTAACATCCTAATGCAACTGCAGGCTCGGGCTCCATTATCATGTAATTACATAAATACAGGTGTGATACTGAGAGGTGGGGGGGGGAAGCATTGGTGATCCCCTAATCCCTCCAACATGAGCCTGACCAATGCTTCATGGAACTTATGAACTAGATGTACTATCACATGCAACAAACAATACACCAAAATGACTAACTCCAAGGAATAATCCAAACAGTATATTGGAAATCAAAATGCTAAATAAAATACAGATTATTCTACCTGTATCGGACATGCTCAATAGTGTCATACGTCAGCTTGCTGCTGATGCTCTGACTATGAGGGTTGCCTAGGAGACAGACATAGAAGTCAATCATTAATCAGTTTTGTTAATATTTTTCTCTTTATCAAAGTACTAGACCAAGCCAGTGAAAAGAGGACAAAAAGAGTTAATATTTCAGTGTTGCCCTGAAGCTCTTGAGAGTAGTCAGTCAAGAGGAGAGAAACAACAGAAGAAAGCAATTATGACAGACCTTGAAACTTCAGCTGGCAGATATTAGTAATTGATCTAATTGTAAGAGAGTTCCATTAGAAGGAAGTTACAGCTGTACTATTCTGCTAGGAGGAAGCTATAGAGAATGCATGTGTAATACACAAACGTACGTTAACAAGCAAATAACAGAGGGTTAAAAGGTATGGTATGTTTAAGTGACAGCCAATTAATTTTTGGACATCTGGGTTTAAAAAAAAAAATCTATCCTATGTTTTAAATGGGAAAGATTTTTGTGGTTTGACTGCAGGTCTTAGTGTATATCCACTCCATCACAAAATTATCAGCCAGCTTCACACTATTCAAAACAAACTGGCAAGGTCTGTTCAGAAGTTAAAACATAGGCAATAAGCTTTCACTGAAGTTAGTGTGGTAGATTTTATGAGAAAGTATGTGGACCTGAAGGCAAGCACATCACTCTTTCATGTTAATAAGCACTTACATTCACCTAATGACTAAACATTTGAGAAATAAAATTAAAAACAAAGTTAAATTGTTAGATCCATATAATTTTTGCAGTAAAAGGGCATGGCCTTAGCTATTTTACATAGTTTCTAAAAAAAATATCACTGAGTTTTAGTGTTGGAGGGATTAGAGTATAGAGACTTTAAACAGAATACAATTCTAGCTTAGAGTGAAGTTTCATTGTGAAAATGGACTATAAAATAGGTTCCTTGGGCTCTCGTAGTTGTATCTAATTTAGAAGTAACTATTCTCCCCCCCAGCTTTCAGCAACTTGTGGTCCTTTAGACCTGTGAATAATCACCAAAAAATAAGATCTGCAACCAAGGTCTACCCTTACTTACGTGGGTGTCTTAATACTGTCCTTTACACCTGTCACCCAGCAGCACTAAATGAGGTTGCATGAGTAACAGGGGAGAGAAACTGGCCCTGTAATTGAAATTTAATCAATGTTGATTAAAAGGGGGAAAATATTAGGATTTAGTTCATTCTTCTGTAACAACTGCAGATCCGATAAACTTCTGGTTTAAGCAGTTAGTCTAATGCTCATGCATGTGAAGTAACTCACTAATTTAACAGACTTTTTAAAATTTATATATCAAATTTCAGCTCAAGGTTATTTGAAATAGTTGAGATTAGACAAATATTAGGCTTTATAATGGGTATGGTGACTGAGCATTAATTTTTATCACTAATATGCACTTGAATAAAAAAAATTCTGAAATAAAAGCACATTGCTAAGATCAAATCAACTTATACTATTGTAATACTCATTCATAGGTCTACATTTCAAGCTAAAGCCTCTACACGAAGAACTATTTCTAAGTCTTGGTGTAACTTAGCTGCATTCTAAATTCTGTTCTCTGCTTCCCTGTCATGGCAATGGAGAGGGAGAAGAAGCAGTTGTGTACAAAATGAGCACCAGCCAGAATCCATCTGTGGCACACAGGCAAGTCCAGCCCTAGACCAAATGGCACCCCAGGCACGGAATGTCTTCAGTGCCCCCACTGCATTTGTTAAACTTTTGACTATCTTTCTTACATTTGTAGCCCATTCCATGATTTTGATGCTCGATTTGCATGCATGATTTATCCCCGTCATAGAAAATGATAAATTTGCACACTGGGATCTGTAAATCATGCCATATGTAAGCAAATCAAATTCAATTTCCTCTAAACTTACAAAAAATTTTTAATTTTAAGAACGGAAGTATACTAACATCAAGAAATTGGTGTGCACCAACATTGGGTGGACCAGTATTAAAGTAGGTGACAGTCTTAGAATGTTAACCCTAGTCCTTTTGTTCAAAGGGTCGCTTTTCTCCCCTTTGCCCTCACGAACTGAAGCTCAGTGTCAGAGATCCCAAGACTGGCCAATTGCACTTTCAAGTGATGTCTGTCTCTCATTGGCCATCGTCAATTGATATGTTTTAATGAGCCTGAGCTTCTAAAAGGTGCGCTCACCATTCACGACTGACCTGCAACATGAAAAGAATTCACAAAGCTATCCACACATTAGGAAGTGTCCTTCAGCTCATGAATGAATTTGAGAACTTGGACTAGAGAGTGCTTCCCATATTATAAAATATGATTAATGTTGTTCAGTTCAACATACAGGTCTTTAGCATTGACGTCTGAACATCCCCCATGTGTCAGCGCCCAGTGGAGTTCTGTACAATTGTTCAAGAATGTTTTCCTGTCCACCAGCAGCTTACTAAGGTCATCGTACCAAAAAAACCCAGGTCTTTTCATGGTGCTTCAATTCTCCAGATCTTTGACGGACACTTGAGTAGTGTCAATAAGAGCAAAAAGACCTCCCTCTTGAATTTTTCTTCTAAGCTTTCCATCACCTCATCTCTGCTCTCGTAACCAAATCTGAGGAATACGAGTTTCCTTGAAGATAAGCTCAACTCCTAAGTTTTCCGCCATTTCTTTGTCAGCAGTAATGACATCTTCAAATTTGTTGTCTCTATGGGCCACAACGAAATCAAGGTAGCTTCTCATCAAAGTAGTAGCGGTTGCAATGTCCATTGACTGAGTTTGTAATGCTTTGCTTACAATGTTTACTTGGAAAAAAAGAGGTTGTGCCAAACCACAATTGAGACAAGAAACATGAAGTTAATGATCTGGTTTGCCAGGCTTTGCACCACACGTCAAATTCTGGCCTCAGCTTTACTCGACTGCACCAGTTCTATTAGGGCATCGTAAACCTCAGTCACTTGGTGCCTTACACTGTCCATGTATCTCTCCCAGAGTGTGTCACTTAGTGGCTTCACAGTCAGATTTGTAACATTATTGATGAGGATCTTACTCCTGAGAGTTGATGCTGAAAACAGGACGTATATCCTTTGCAGTACTCCTAAGAGACAGAATGAATCTAAAGAAGATGATGCCGCCATGTTGAGGGAATGGCAGCCACAAGGCAGAAAGAAAGCTCTTGGATTCAGTGCAAGGATCCTTGCCTGGATGCCACTGTTTCTTCCCTTCACGTTTATGCCATTGTCGTAACCTTGGCTACAGCAGTCTAGAGATTTTATTTTATTCTCATTCAAAACATGAATATATCTGAAACTTACTTAGAATATTCGATTTCTCCTTTTGTTGCTAACAAAAACAGCACCCTGAGCCGGATGCCCCCCAAGCCTAGCACCCCAGGCGGTCACCTGGGTCGCCTGTCCCTAAATCCAACCCTGCACACAGGTGACCTCAGTATTACACCCCACAAATATGTTGATGTGTGTCCCTTGCCTTAAAGGCTATGGCTTTCTGGTTAAATGATAATGGCTAGTTCCCAAGCCAGCAATCATGTGCTCAGAGCTGCAGGGAGCACATACCAGAAACAAAGCGTCCACCCAAGATGAGGCCACTCACTTTCTGGCAGCCCAGTTCCTGCCCATGCAAGTCCTTAAACTGCTGAGATACCCACAAAGAGGACTGACTTGCCTCCCTCTGCACATGAAACAGGACAAAAAAAACCTGTGTCTAGAGGACCCCTCTGCATGTCTGGACAAAATGGCATGGAGAGTTTGTGCCTTTCTCAGGGTTACTCAGTGAGTTAGTGACAGAGCTGGGACCAAAGTCAAGGTAAGACTAACTGATGTAGCAATTTCCTACAATATCCTTGGAAGACCTCACTGAATTAAGTGTAAGTATCTTTGGGGTCCATTATATTAAATGAATGGTTTATGTATTATTGTGAGCCTGGACTGTATGTCACCTCTCAAGGAGGGAGATAAATGTGAGATCTGGGGGTTCAAAGGATGATATAGAAGAAAGTGCCAGACAAGAATGGACTTTTTAGAACAAAAATTATAAAGTGGTTTGTCTGAGGAACATGTAGGGGGAGGTCAATGGAAATCCCATGTGTGTGTGTGTGTGGGGGGGTGTAAACTGTATGCCAAAACCCAGCCTTTTGAAGCTGGATCAGCAGGCCACTGTCTGCTGATCACCTGTTACATGAGGCCAAGATCAAAGGCCCAAGCCATATAAAGGAAAGAGTGAACTATTCATTGTTGTTTTAGTTCTGAATCTGAGACAGTTATGAACTCCTAACCACAGGGAAAACCCAGTTGTGGGTTTTGAAGGGATGACACCTACCAAAACCTGAAGTTGGAATGGGGGTGATGTTGGGCAAGCTTTTAGCATGCATGTTCTTTTATTGTTTTTAAGGTTCTCTGTAATGCTTTCACCTCGAGGTGTGTGGTAATTTATAACTGTGGCAATTCCACTGTTCATAGCCTCTTGAGAGAAAGCAAAACAGATGCTGGCATGTTTAGGTGATCTGGCTTGCTGGGAATATCATAATGTAGAGGGAACTGTGCAGTATGGGAAAAAACCCTGCCAGGAAGGAGCGAGACGTATGTCTCTGACCAATAGAGGTGATGGTTGAGGAGGTGCAGTTGTCCCAAACTATGACAAAGACCATCATATTTGTCACTTGATCACTGCAGTATATAGAATGTAAATACTCTTGCAGTAACAGGAAACACTGTAAATGATGTTAGTCTATGAGAAAGTTGCTTGGTACTTACCATAAATATTTTTACTGAGATCATCAGTAAACTCCTTAAGAAGACTGTGTGGAAAAAGTGCTGTACCTGCATGGTCAAGGTAGGTCATTCCTAAGATAAAAAAGTACAATATATTAGCTTCTTAATATTAAATTCTAACCTCCCATACAGACTAGATTTACCAATGTGAAGCACAAAAGTCACTTGAGCAAATTTAAAAGCTACAGTATATACCATGGCAAGTCCATTTTGTCCATAAGCTCATGGGAATGGCTTTATTTCTCTAAGGAGTTTGTGTCGCAGCCATCACTAAGTGCTTTCCCAGTAAGTTTTTAGCTCATAATCAGCAAAATACAGGAGGGCTTGTCTACACTTACAGCACTGCAGAAGTGATGTAGCTGTGCCGCTTAGTGAAGATGGGAGAGCTTCAGCACAAGTACCCCACCTCCCTGAGAGGCATTAGTTATGTCGACGGGAGAAGCTGTCCTGTCGACATAGCGCTGTCTACACTGCGAGTTCGGTTGTTATAACTGCATCACTCAGGAATGTGGATTTTCCACACCCCTGAGTGATGTAGTTATACCAACATAAGTTTGTAGCGTAGACGAGGAAGGCAGGTACTCCACATGTAAAGAGATGATCAAAACTTTGTATATTTTGAAATTAAAGTAACCTATTTTAACACCATTTCTTTTCTTTTAAAGATACTTCAATCAAACTCTTTGGGGGCAGGGATTATTTTTTTGTTTTGTGTTTATATGGCGCACACACACACTAATGTTGCCCCAAGTCTTACTGACTAATCAGTCTCAAGAATTAGTAAGGCCTGAGCAGTGTGCATGGGAAAGTTTGAAGCTTCCTTAACCTCAAATACAAGAACTTAAGTTTCAACGTATTTAAATATTTCCTCCCATTTTGTTGCACTTAAGTCAGTTCATTTTTAAATTTTTGAAAGAAAAGCTTATTCTAATGAAAAAGAAAATCTAACTGGACACTAAGGTCTTTTCTTGTTTAGCCATTTCTGCTTTCTTAATCTTTGGCAATTATTCTCCCATTTCTTTAGAGTGTCTCAGGTCCATTGCTAGTCTTTCATTTCACGTCATGTAAATATTTCAACCTATTTCAAGTTTTAATAATGGTGAATATGATTAAGATTAGCATTTAATAAGTATTTTAAAAGCTCTTTCCTTTCCACAAGGATTTAAGGCTCAGTTAAGCTCTTATCTAGAATCCTTGACACTTGAAAAAAATATATATTACTATGGTGCTAAAACAGTAACTTGGTAGGTGAGGATGTGAGATACTTTCAATTATAAAACTAATCTGGACACCCTTTATCCCTCTAACTTTCTGCTTCAAATTTCTCATGCTTAATCCCTAGCCAAAATGGTTTTTTTTAATTTGAATTTAATCAGGAAAAGTGGTTTGAAGAGCTCCAGAAAAAAAAAAACAAAAAAACAAACACACACACACACACCCCCTTCTTGTTTGTTTACTTCTGAAAAGCCTTCTAGCTTCCCGCCTCCCTTCTTTGCCCCCAAAAAGCATCTCAGTTATTTTCTGGACTAAAATCAAAAGATAGTTACTAACTGACAGATATAGAAAAAGTGGCATATGAATTTGGAAGCCAGGATATTTTAATACCTCATCTTTTGATGAGGTTTCTACTTTTCCTCCAAGATGATGTATAAAAATATCCATTCTTTCTACCTAAAAATCACTTAAAACAGGAAAGATGTTCATCACTTCCAAGCCTGTTGCAATAGTATACAATAGATTTTAGGATGTCAAATGGCTGCTGTCCCAGGCGCTTTTTCCTTTTTCCCCAGGGGGCTCAAACTGTGCTTGACCCTAAGGCCCTGCCCACACTCCACCCCCTCCCCGAAGGCCCCACTCTAGCTCCACCTCTTCCTGCGCCCACTCCACCCCTCCCTGAGGCTCCTGTCCACCCTCCCCTCAGCTCCTTTCTGAGCCACTGAACAGCTGTTTGGCAGTGGCACCACTTCTCATCAGCTGTCAGGTGAGAACAGCAGTGCTCCCACATCAGCTGATGAGTGGGGGTGGGGGAACTGCTGTGGCTGGTGGGCACCCACTATTTTTTCCCCATTGGATGTTCCAGCCCCAGAAAAACCCAAGGTGTTGGGGCCTATGGCTGCTGTTTTGTCCCAAAATATGGCTGTATTTCAGTGGCAGATAGAATGAAAGATAATACATGAAGTCAAGGTCTGCCCCTAGATACCTACACCCAACCCTTGGGTTATCTTGATGTTAACTGGAATAGGATATACATATTTGTTAGGAAAAATGACCCACAGTTTGCAAAACACTGAGAATGCTCACATTGACAGGAGTATTTATGACTATATATTATGCAGAGAAGAGGCCTATTGAAATCAGCCTCTTAGGACACTAGTAAACAAGGGATGCTGCTGACAAGAGGAAGAACCTACCCTGTGCAGAACAGAAATAACACTCAAAATTACATTACAAGAGGTTCCTTGGATAGAGTATTTAAGCTTGTTTCATTCTGTGTCTAAATATAGCAGCTGAAATCCTCTCTCCATTAAAATCAATGGCAAAATGCCTTTGACTTCAAAGGAGCCCAGGGTTTCACCCCAGAATGCATTCTGGGAAAAGTTTACAGGAAGTTCACTTGAGATCAACAAATTACTAACTGTTAAACATTCTCCCTTTTTATCTTTAATGTTTGCTGATTAATTGAAGACAGTAAACAGCGTTTAATATTCAATCTTAACCGACTGAAAGGAGGAGTTTATGTAAATTGAGATTGCATTCAACAAGTGAATAGTATCTTTAGAGGAAAATAAAATCGTATCTTTTCATTTCAATAGACTTGTTTATTTCTAAACCGAAACATTAGTCCCACATGCATAAGAGTCATACAAAAGCTAAAGATATTTTATTTGCACTTTTCCCCTTTAACAACATTTTCTATTTTAACTTTATTTAATAAACTCGTTAACCAAACCGATGTGTTAGTACAAACTGGATAATTTAGATCCCTTTAATTCTCTGTGGTACACAGCATACCATCTGTCAACAGTGTAGATTTGTATTATTTATTAAAAGCATCAGTTGAAAGAAAATTAATGTATGTATTGAGGCCCTCTGTTTTACCTGGGTGGATGGGAATTTAATACCATATTGAATATAACTGACATGGAAACTACCGTCTCTTGAAGGTGAGTGAGGTAATTTTTTATTGGACCAACATTTGTTCATGAGGGAGACAAGCTTTTGAGCTTATGCAGAGTTCTTCAGGTCTGAGAAAACACTGCATATTTTAAAGTGTAATTTATGTCTGTTTCAGAAATGATTTGATCTTTTGATGAAATCTACATCCCAGATCAGTGGTTCTCAAAGCTGGTCTGCTGCTTACTCAGGGAAAGCCCCAGCAGGCCGGATGGGTTTTTTTACCTGCCATGTCCGCAGGTTCGGCTGATTGTGGCTCCCGCTGGCCGCACTTTGATGCTCCAGACCAATGGAGGCTGCAAGAAGGGCGGCCAGCATGTCCCTTTGCCTGCGCTGCTTCCTGCAGCCCCCATTGGCCTGGAGCAGTGAACTGCAGCCAGTGGGAGCCACGATCAGCTGAACCTGCGGACGCGGCAGTAAACAAACTAGTCTGGCCTGCCAGGGGCTTTCCCTGAACAAGCGGCGGACTGGCTTTGAGAACCACTGTCCTAGGTGTCTGTCCAAAAGGATTAATTTTTAGCTACCAGTTCTGGGAAGGTGGTTAAGAAATGTTTATTTAGATAGTAAAATGCCTACATTTAAATATACCTGCAAAATAATTCTGTATATGGAGTTCTTTGAAACAGTTTCTATTGCTTATCTATTCTCCATGTAGTGGAGTTAATCTCTCTCAATAAAGCATGGGTTATTTTCCTGTTGTCCCTCCCAACCACCACACACATAGCCTTCATCGGGGTCAGCTCCAGCCTCTTCTGGGGGGGGGGGGGGGAGTTGGGCTAGACAGAAAATTAGGGGGCTGTGCTATACATCTTGTGGGCACACATACTTATTGTTAAAAAATATACACACACCCTTAAACACTGGTTTTATCTATATTAACCTCAAATGGAGAATAAAAATTATATACAGACAGATCAGTTTTAAACTTTATCTATGACCGCTCAGTGCTGCAACATTTATTTACAGAAAATCAACAGGGAAAAAGGCCAATAACTAATTAACAAATGCAAGCTACTGGGGAAAAAATGGGTTAAATAGCTAATTACTTTAAACTGGATAATATATTGTATTATATTTTAAAATTAACCATTTGCACATGGCAGAGATAGATATTTGGAAGATTTGGCGACTCAGCCATAATATAACAACTCACACTGTGGTCAATATGGAGCAAGGGCCCAGTGCTAGACAGGATTAACTGATCCCAGGTGCAGTTGGAGGTGTTACAGTGCTCTGTCCTTCATCCTTAGGAGCAGCTGGAGGAGGCAGGGGGGAGGGAAGGGGGGGATGGATGCTAGGTCTTTGCGGCTCCTGAGCCCCAGCCAGTTTGCTAATCTAAGCGTCCTCAGCCTGGGCTGGAGCATGTGCAGCTGCAGTATGCCCGTGGCAGGGAGCTGCATGCTGGGGATGTGAACCAGGTGGGGAGGAAGCAGAGGTGTCATTTCAGATTCTGTTGGGATGAAGAACTTTAACTGATTTAGGCACCTGAAAACTAGATTTGTTTTGGCAGATAACTTAGAAGTTAGCTGACAGGAGCACCATATCTAATTCCTATATAAAGGACAAAATTATATAAAAACACCAATTAAAGCCATATTTTAAGTTTATATACAAGTTTAGAACAATCAGGAGACAATACAGCAAGATATGACCAATCCCAAGCCATGAGGTATCAGTTCTGGAGCCTTAATACAGACATCAGAAACAAAATTTGATTTGTGCTTGAAAAAGCAGGACTTCAAATCAAGCCAGGATGCCTTTCAGGAAGACATTACCTGATGAATTATCTCTGGTGAGAACATTTTAGAATGACAGTCTGCAGGTACTCTTGCTTTACAAAGCTTTTGTTCTTGCTGTTTATTAAGATTAACATATGATTACTTAGTTAATAGTGCACA